CAAAGACGTTGTAAGCGCTCTGTACCTGATCGATTATCCATCGATCTAACTGATGCCATTTGCACAAATCGTGCTCACTTTACGATTGCGTTCAAGATAATAAGAGGTGACTGAGCGATTGGTTCCTTGCCTTCATAAACAAGAAAGCACTCGGCAGCCGGTGCTTCGCGTACTGTTCGTTAGTCTCATATACGCTAAGTTCTTTCGATTCCTTGACTTTCCGTTGGCTTAGAAGGCCGCCTGCTGCATCTGTGCCCACTCGTACCTTGCCGCGTTCATCGGCTATAGACTGCCGCAGAACACACGACAGTGTTTCATACTTACCAAAGACGTTGTAAGCGCTCTGTACCTGATCGATTATCCATCGATCTAACTGATGCCATTTGCACAAATCGTGCTCACTTTACGATTGCGTTCAAGATAATAAGAGGTGACTGAGCGATTGGTTCCTTGCCTTCATAAACAAGAAAGCACTCGGCAGCCGGTGCTTCGCGTACTGTTCGTTAGTCTCATATACGCTAAGTTCTTTCGATTCCTTGACTTTCCGTTGGCTTAGAAGGCCGCCTGCTGCATCTGTGGTGCCCCACTCGTAACGCAAAACAACAATGGTGCTTCCATCACTAGCTGCACGTACAAAAGCCACATAGTTATCCTCCATGTGCCCCTTTAACGCCTTCTCAAGTGCCATGCAGAATGGAAAGTGAACAGACACTAATACCTCAACGGGCATATGTGAAGCCGTAGCACGAGGCCCTTGGCTGCACAATGCTCTTAGCTGCAAAACTGTTGCGATTGGGATAATATTTTCCCAAAATGTTGCACTTTGTTGCGCAAGAGTTAAAGCTAAAAGTTACTCCGATTTAATTACATATTTGCGCACCTTGCCGAATTTCATCGCCTACTGAGGCAGTTATACCTCTGGTGGAAAAGTTCTCGTAGAATAATTTCCTAGCATTGCTAGACCCCCAAGATGCCTGGATGGTGCTCAAAAGTTTGGACTGGTATCCCGAATTCAGCAATCTGCCTGTTTTAGGCCATCAGGGACACGCCGTGGCTTTCGCCGTTGTGCGAATACTGGGTGCCTCATAGCACAGCAAGTCCAAAGTCGAATGTGCGCCACAGCTGAAACGAAAGATTTATTAAAACCACTGAGTCTAGATTGGGTATTTTGGTTTGGCCATACCGTGGTATGCACCCTGTAGAATTGCCATGGGCAATGCTTTTGGGAAGACATGGAAATTTCTGTGGACGGGAACAAAAGGGAAGTTCATGAGCCAAAGCACATTGAGTTTGTACATCACCAATAATTACACATAAATCAAGCAAAGTAATAGGCGTCATGTATTACAATACATATACCAAATTGCAAAATTTCTGCACAAAAACTTCCATTCGATCCGCAAGAGTTTTTCAAAAAAGAGCATTTTCCGGTCAAGTGTCATGGGTGTAATCTATTGTTGCACCTCTTGTACCCTTGAGGATGAATAACTCCTCATACGAACGCTTGAACACTCGCCCTAGCCGCCATTTTACTCGTCTTCCCCTGGTAGGAGATCCCAAAGCTCCAGAAGCCTCTTGGATGGAGCTCAAGCGAGTTGGACCAAGTGCGCTAGTTGCAGCGAAGCTGATTGAAGTCGTTCGCCAGAGCGCTTGGACTCAAAATCTCGTTGCGCACACGAGATACCGCGCAGGCCAACTACCATCCCCCTATATTTGGTCACCACCACCGAAAGACACGTCGTTGATCAGATAATAATTAACTTTCCGCCAGGACAGTGACTACTGCGTGCTGACCTATGATTTCATCTGCTTTTGGGCCAGAAGTCGAAAACCTTAAACGTAGACTCGAAACTTCTGCCGTGCAGACTTCTCAGGATTGCGCATCATTCTTGGATAAGTTTAACTGGGACCGCTTCAGTGGAAGACTTATGTAGGGCCATTGCCTAGACACGATGACCTCAAAAAGATTCAGCGTCTTCAGGAAAAGAGGCTTCGACGTTTATCAAAAAGCTTATTACAGGAGACACAGAAGATCAGCTAGCATTTCGTGAAATGCGGAACCGCTGTAAATCAGAAATCCTCCAATGGAACATACGAAAACAAGCCACCATTATGGACCTCATCCGAAAAAAAGAAATGCATTATTCAAGTACATGAGACCGCCGCAGAAACAAGCCATCCGCGTTCTCCTTGAACGATAGGAAAGGGGAACCCACCAGAAACACAACAGTGGTATCAGATATTTATAGTGAACACATTGCACAGCTATAATCAGCCCCAGCGTCTTCGTCCAGTCTTGTCAATACGTACCTACAAACAGCCTCTAACGTGCTGGGTCTTCAGGGTTGAGGCCGTTCGTTAACTCTTGCAAAAGATCAACCCATTCTGCGCGTTGGGGGTGACGGGGTCTATCCAAGGATCCTGGAAAAAAAGTCTAAACTGGCAAGTGGTTTAAAACTGGTGTTTCGTCAATCGCTAAGCTAAATCAGACTTATCTCTGCTTGGAAAGGAGATATCGTCAAGCAAATTTACAAAACTGGTGAGCAACCATCGCCTGTTAGCTAGAGGCCCATAAGATTCACATGAATGCTGTACAAGGTCATGGAACGGATTCTGAAGCCAGATATCCTAAATCACCTCACTTACGACAACCTGATATCTCCAGCTCAACACGGATTTCTTCCAAACCGCTCTTGCGTGACAAACACGCTCATGTTTATGGACAGTTTAACCCAGGCCAAGGACAGAGGACTCATATCGGATGCCATATTTTTCGAGTTTTCAAAAGCATTTGATAAGATCTCACACGCTCCACGAACTCGATTCTTACGGGATTCAAGGGAAAATCCCTCGCTGGATC